CCTTTTTCAAAGAGGAGTACAAAGTGGTTGTGATTCTGGATGAAGGAGGCCATGGACATTCACGGCGCCTCGTCCTCCTTGACTGGCGTCAGGACAGCAGGCGGGGTCCCCCGGGCTGTGTTCTGAAAAATCACTACAGTCTGCAAGAAAGAAGAGAGGCTCCCCTCAACACAACAGATGAGGCCAGGTTTATAGCCGCTCAGCTCTTCAGACCTTGCTATGACACTATCTAGAGAAGGGGTCCCCAAGATGGTGACTTTGTCCCCCAACACCTTTCTTGGTACTCACCAAGTATTTTAGAAAGTGGGCAGAGCCAGGTGGGGCTCTTGCCCAGCTGGGCTTCTGATTGGCAGGTCAAGATAACTGGCTACATGCCTGCTTTGCTCCACAATGGGTCCTTGGGTAGGGTCATGCTGGATTCAGATCCCACCTCTAAGTAGAATACTCTTTGGATCACCATGTCCCCTGTGACAGAACAATCTTCCTTCCCAAACACCCACTCCTGTCAGGCCCGTAGCCACAACGGGGCATTTAGGGGCAGTGCCCCCTCACTCGTGGCCCACGACCCACAACAAGCCCTGCCCCTGCCCTTACCTGCTGGTCGCACTCGTTTGCCTCAGCCACTACAGGAGGAGAGCTGACTGGCTGGTGTGATTAAGACTTGGTGAGTATGCACTCTCTGCTGCAGTAGTGGGTGTGTAGCACAGAGCGCATCATCCCTGCATATTAATTGCCCCGTACCGCTGGCTCTTCCTCTCCTGTAGTGGCCGAGGTGAACAAGTGCGGCTGGCAGGTAAGGAAAGACCCTTCTCATCTTCGCCTGCCTGCTGATGGGATCTTCCCCCCCGCTCCCCTGCCCAATCTCCCCCCACCCACCCACCCCAGGTTTCCCAACCCCCCAACCAAAATCTTCTGGCTACGCCCGATCCCCATCCAGGCAACTACCGTTTCACTGTAGGAATTCCGACATAAACCGGCACATCCAAAGGCAGCAGTGATGATGGTGATGAGGAACTCCAGGATTGTGAACGTCAGGAGAACTGCAGCCATGTAGCGCATTTGAGTCTACCAGAGAAGCACAATGACCTCTTCATTCCATGCTCTGTATACGAACACCGAATGTAAATAATACTGCTACATATGTTTAAATAAAATTCACAACACATTGCGTTCATTTATATCTTACGTTTTCTTTATCATACATTCTTTGAAATAATCTTCCCGAAGTCTACAAATCATATTGGGGAATTTTTTACAAAAATTTAAAGGCGCCGTTCACATGTAATAACAACTAGAACTTAATTACAAAGCACATAGGTGTATTGATGCCAACACTTCAAAACTTTCAAAAGAGCAGGGCTATTTTGGGCAGGAACGCACAGGAACGGAGTTCCGGCTGGCTCCTGAGTTAGCCACACCCAGCAGGAACTTATTAGCATAATAGGCCACACCCAACAGCAGAAACTCATTAGGATTGGCTACATTAGGGGCGTGTGGCCTAACATGCAAAGGAGTCCCTGCTACAAAAAAAGGCCCTGGGTTTTGACAACAAACAAGGTAAACAGAATAAGAAGCAAAAGGTGGGTATGGCTGGATGACCACACTTCTGGCAACACGGGGCTGCGGCCTAATATGCTAATGAGCTGTGGTGTCAGGGTGTGGCCTAATATGCTAATGCGTTTCAGCTGTTGGGTGTGGCCTATTATGCTAATGAGTTCCTGCTGGGCTTTTTCTACAAAAAAAAGCCCTGCAAAAGAGGAAACACTGGTTCCCAACGAATCCCGTGTTCTTGTTATTCTAAGCAATCTTAGAATGGGTTCTGTTGGGTCTTCTCCAATATGTAGTGTCATTCAACAAAGTTTTTACCAGGGCCCTTCATAACCTAAGCAAGGACTGCTCAATTATCATAAAAGATCTGTTCTGGAGCATTTTTTAATAAAGGAACATTCACCAGAAGACTTAAGGTTTTGGGTAATCTATAATCGGGTTGATGCAAAGTTTTATTTAAAAAAACAGGAAGCACAATGGATATTCCAGCTGCACACCTACTCACCCTGTGGTCTTAACCAAAATCTTGATTAGTCGCCTTTCATTTAAAGTTAGGTTTGAACTGTGTAGTACTTTGTAGTTTTAATTGCTAGCTTGTGTAACAGCTCACTGAGATGGAGTCTGTAAGAGCTTTCTATCGGCTAAATGGTTAATAGGCTAAGGGTGATTGCTCGCATAAGAACACCTATGTAGAATAGACAGCTTGAGAAGACTCAGAAGATTTGCAGAAGCTTCTATGCTTTGATTTTTAAAGGCGTGATTCCACAGTAGCTGAGTCATAATCCTCAGAATTCTGGCTTTTCTTTCTGCACTGAGAACTTCAGCCCCACCCCCCAAAAAAATTGCCCCACAAGCCACAAAATCTTGCGACACAGGCCTGGTGTGTGAGCACATATTTAACAGGCTGTCCCCTGTGGGATTTATTTCAGTAGTGACCACAATATTGTTATCTGTCACCTCAAAGATTTTCTTAATTTGGTTTTTGATGAAGACATTCGAAATGCGCCATACTGGAGGCACGTCCAACAACACCGATAACAACGCCAACACAGGATTCATCTTTTGAAAGTTTTGAACTGCTGGCATCTACACATCTATGTTCTTTCTAATTAAGTTCTGGTTGTTATTATGTGTGAACTGTGCATATAAGTTTTTGTTTAAAAAAATTCCCCAATGTGATGTGTAGTGTTTAGGAAGATTATTTCAAAGAACGTATGAAAAGAAAACATAAGATATTAATGAATGCAATGTGTTAAAGTTTATTTAGATGTTCATAGCCAGGCCCATAGCCAAAAAAACTTTGGTGAGGAGGCACGTGAGGGGCACGGAAAGCAACGTGATGGGAGGAGGGGAGCGCCCCACTCACCCCAGCAGAGAGCAGGGGAGCACCGGACAGCCTTGGTTTGTGTGCTTCTCTTCCTTTCGATTGGAGACACTCGATTCCGGGCTGCTTTTCTGTGTGAACCGAGCATGGGGTGGGGGAATCTCTGTCTCCTTTGCCTTTTACAATTTTATCTTATTTTTTGCAATGATTTTTTGCATTAAAAAAAAAAACCTATTTATTTTTTGCCCTGGAAAGAAGAAAATGAGACTGAAGCTTCCCTGACCATGCCCAGGGTCACTTTGAAAAAACGTACATGCATCTTAAAGATTTAAAATATATTTTATTTTATTTAGAATTTTCTATAAAATTTTAATCTGCGGGGGTGACGCTCATCCATGGGGCATTGCCCCCCAGTGCCCCCCACCGTGGCTACAGGCCTGTTCATAGCAGTACTATTTGCACTCAGTGATTAGCTTTTCAATAATATAATTCTGATACACACTGAAGCTCCCCTTTCTATTTTGTACTGTATACAAACACAACTGTCACAAGAGATGGGGTAAGCTCCAGTGCATGGTATGGAAGCTGCACCCAGTCCCAACTGGGAGGAGCCCCATTCTTAAGAGCTCTGGAGAAGCACGGCAGGTCCCACAGGCAATCTTAGTCACTATGCCCCTGGCCCACTTTCATTACTTTTGTTGCATACAAATGCCCAAAAGCTCAACAGGATGTTAAACACATGAAGCTGCCTTAGACTGAATCAGACCATCAAGGTCAGTGTTGTCTACTCAGAACGGCAGCGGCTCTCCAGGGTCTCAGGTCTTTTGCATCACCTCCTGCCTGGTGGTTTGTCACTGCGGATGCCGGGGATTGAATTTGGGACTTTCTGCATGCCAAGCAGGTGCTCTACCATTGGGCCACAGTTCCGTAGCTCATGGCGGGAATGATGAGATCATAAAGAGCTTTCTGCCTTCAGAGGCAAAATTCAAAAAGAAGTGAGACGCTCCCATGCTGCCTCCCTTCTTCAGAGAAGATAGACTCACGTAAGGGATGGTGATAACTTCGTGGCAAATTTCAGGCGGCATTTCTGTGTTATAATATCCGTCACACTCACTGTAGTAACTTATGTGTGCTACTGAAATGGAGAGTATCACAATTGCAATGCCAGCTGCCACGGCACTCACAACATTCATTCCCAGCATGCCTTTCACCTGTGGGGAGAAAGCACGCCATGAATTAAAAAAGGTCTCACTTCTTTCCATGGAATCCCTGATCGCTTCAACCTCCACAGACGGGAATCCCGCTTCAGCCTCTCTCTGCTTGACTGTCCTTGTCCTTTATGGCATGAACAAAGCAGACTCGGGACCCATGGCTGGCCATCTAAGAAGCAGAAATACTTGAAATACAGAGGAAGGAACCAATCCCGAGCTCCGAATCAAAGGAGAACAGGATCAGTGCAAGAAAACTCCACATACGTTCAGGGGCTTCAAGGGGGGTAATCTAAGGCTTGCATCCTCCTTCTTGCTCACAAGAACATGGTGTTGTGTTGTTGTAAAAAAAAGAATTGCTATGCTACATAACGAAAACATCCCTGTAAGTTAGGCGTGTCATTGAGTTGCAGCTGACTCATGGCGGCCCTATGAGGTTCCCCATTGCCTTCCTCTGCCTAACACTTCCGGTCTTTGTTGGTGGTCTCCCATCCAAGCAATGACTCTGCTTAGCTTCCAGGGTCTGAGGAGATTGGGCTAGTCTGGCCTAATAGGGCTGCTACTGGCATTCCCATACAGAAGCAAAAATTTCCAAAAGATCTCAGTCAGTTTTCTTATTGAATGCATATTTGTTTTATTTTCCATTGGTTTTGATGGAATGCCGGGATGCCGATTTCAAAGGGTAACTTTGGGGAGGGGGGTAGTTTTCATCCAATTTGGATGAGATTTTCCATGGATGTACCTCTCACCCTGAGGATCATCTGTATGAAACTTCAGGCAGATAGTAAAAAAAAAGTCCCAATGTTATCGGCAGTGGAAGTTAAATCACATTTCTAGTTCTAATGCCTTTGCTTTTCATTGAAATGAGGTTTGAAAAATGTATACCCTTTCCATAAAGATTCATTGCTGCCAAATTTCAGAGATGTAGGGGAAGGAGTCTCTGTTTTAGAAGCCAAATAAGTATCAGAAATAAGGATCTAAAGATCTATCTTTGATTGCTCCTGATTCTTTTTTTAAACCTACCGTAAGTAAAACATGTTTTATTTTATTACCTATAGAATGCTTCCCGTTGACTTTTGTTGACCCTTTGCTTTATCTGAGAGTATAAATGTTTCTCCTCATAACTATGTTAACTGGACAAGCTGTGTTCTAGATGTTACAGCAACGTTCTTAGAGATATTCCTGCAGTCTTGCAAGCTCCATTAGCTGAAAGCTACTGTCCCTTAACATTTTATCTATACTGAAGGAAAGCAGAGACATTACTCCTGCTGACATATTTCCTCTTGGAACCAATGGAAAGAAAAATGAATTAGATTTGTTCCTTTTGTTTGTTTGTTTTTTTGTTTAAAAGTTTAACACCTTGCATTCAAGAGAGACTCAGGTCAGGAACGCGGAAATGTGTCTTAAAACACATTATCCCAGCATTGGTTTCTTGTCCTTGTCGGCCAGTTCATGATGGTTGGTGCCATCATTCAAGTCCTAAATTGGTTAGTTACCAGTGATATCTCAGGTTTCTTGGCAACGACCACAGACAGAGATCCAGAAATGATGTACTGTGGAAAAGAGAAAAAGAGCTCAGAAGAAATAGAAAGGTATGAGCTTCTTGTATCCCTGCCTCTGTTCCTCCCGCCCACTAGATCGGAGGAATCTAGGACTGGAAATCATTTGGTCATGTGGCAGAGGACCCAGGGTCCAAACGTGGAGCTGCATCCAGTCCTTGAATTCCAGATTCATCAAACCATGCTAGGTTATCTACATTATGGGGCACGGAAGGTTTCATGATGAATCCCAGGACATAACAACAACAAAGGACAACGGAGTAAGAGAACTGATATAACCACTTATGTAAAACTCCAAGAATGGGCTGCCCACCAAAGACTCCCAACTCATGTGAAAGTACACATTAAAAATTAACAACTGAAACTGTATTATGACCAATACAACACAGTAGTCAATTATAACGTCAGTATCACACACGAATAACAAGATTCCAGTTGCCAATCCCTCTGTTAATTGTAATTTCCCTGGGAAAGATTGTCCAGTTCTTTGCCAAGTTCCTCCTCTCCTATCTAAGGGTAGAGTATGGGGATGTCCCCCCTCATAACGTCTGTCCACTCTCCTAGGATATCTTGAGATGTCCCTGTGCTAGGGGAAGTTCGAGATTTGATGCAAGCAAAGAAAACCCACCCAATACTGTATTTGGTCCAGAATTCGATTCTATGGAAAATGAAGCTCTGATACATTTAAGGTAAGCCTCTAGTTCCTTTGTATGTGACAGTGCATAGTAAAATCTCATCAGTGAAACTGAGCCATTACACCTGTACTTTTTTTTTTGGCTAAGCTTTAAATAGCCATTGGGCTAAGCTTAAGATGGCCGGACTTTCCAAAGCGTGGACACTTGTGGGGTTAAAGCCTCACAGTCTGCTTCTTCCAAACCTGATGTGGAAAAATTACCAGGATTCCAGTCCAGTATGGAGTTCGGATATGTATTTCACCATAATGGTATTCAAGTGTCCCTTCTGCCATGACTATCACCAGCCCAAAAGCAATTACCACAATGCCGATGCCGATCTGTGTGATCTGCCGAGACAAAGTCAAATGGCACGTTAGCATTATCTTACGTTCTATAGCCAAATCAAAACAAGGGCCACCATTTTCCGTCACAGAAGGTGAAGGACAGGACTGCCGTACCGCTCGACAGTAATACACAGACTGGAAAGCAAATCGTTTCCAGGCCGTGGGAAGAGAGGTTGTTCCCGTGGGGTCCAAATCTGCAAATGGAGCGTCTTTCTAGGCATTTTGATCCTGCTTTTCCTCCAAGGAGATCAAGGAAGCAAAGGCAGTCTCTCCCATCTACCACCATTTTGGTTTCACAAACAACCCTGTTCAGGAGGTTAGTTTGAGATGGTGGGACTGGCCCAAAGTCACCCAGTGATGGGGATTTTGACCAGGGTCAACTAGCCCCTACTCTGATGTTCTAACCACCATTGCTGTGGTTCACAGCCAGTATATTAATCTCTCTCACAGTCATTTCTGTTAAAAGGCCAGCAATGAGTAGAGACTAATAAACCCAATGGCTGTGATGCTTAGAAGGTGCATTTGAGTCGCCAATGCAAGAATCAAACAGAGATGATTTGTCATTGCCTGCCTCTGCGTAGCTATCCTGGACTTCCTTGGTGGTGTCCCATCCACCTACTAACTTACTAAGCTACTGCTTAGCTTTTGAGATACAAGGAGATCAAGCTAGCCCAAGTCATCCAGACTGGGATAACACAATAGGTTGGCCCAACAAAGTCATCTCACCTCAATATTTGAAACACAGAAAGCTGCCAACAATTTTGTTGGCTGAATGTAACTGAGAAGCAGGGGTAATTTCCTGTGGGAGCGCACAGGAGCGGAGCTCCGGCAGTAAGGAGCCCAGGGGGTGGGCACATGCAACAAGCCCTGCCCCCTGCTCCCAGCAGCCCTCAGTCAGGCCACGAGGAGCAAGAAGCAGCCAGGTAAGTTGCAGAGCAACCCCTCCAGCCTGCCTTCAGGTACAAACTCTCCCTCCTCTGTGAGGGCAGATCTGTGCGCTCCCCCCCCCCCAATAGCTAGCAACCCAAAAGAGTCCAGTGGCGCCTGAGCGGTGGGTGTTGCCTTCCGGTGAGGTCAGGGGGCGTGGCCTATGCAAATA